CACACGCAGAAACGCACACGGAACGCTCACGCACACACACAGGAACGCACGCACATGCCACACCACCACCGCGCAACGATCGCACCACTTACAATACTCAGGCACGCGTACGTGAGTTCGTTCAGTGCAGAGAGACTATTTGGCCTTCAGCAGCAGTTTTTACATACTGAACAAAACCACACAAAATGATTTCAAAAAGTAGCACACCACACTGCCTCAAGAACTACACATAAAAAAACAACTACAATAAATTAAATATATATACATTAAACTGTGGAAACATTTAAGGGTGCTACAAAAACGGATACAATATTACAATAGTTCTTTACATTAATATACGCCTAATACACCATGGAATATACCATGTGTGGTACGGGAGTATGACATTGTAAATCGAGATTTGCGTATACCAAGAGTATGGAAAAAGAATTGTTTTCCCAAAATACATACGGTGAAATAGCAAATATTTAATAGGCAGCAGTCTCTGTCTTTAAGTCTTGCTGTCAGACAAACAGCAATGTGGTGTTAAGCAGTACTGAGTATAAGAATGGTGAATATCTCATTATGAGAATGGTTGAATTACGCAATTCATATGTACAGTTTTTAGTCAAATTTGAAACTTTCATTGTTTTTGGATTTTCTCCACCGTGCTGGTCCAGAGGAAAACGCAGAGACATCTTCCAATGGGTCGACGATGCACAATTTTCTTTAATTATGCGCACATTGAAATTTAGTTATTTGTATACGTATTCTGGGGCTTTTATAGGATTAATCATACCGATGTGCAAGTAGGACTTTTCTGTAGGGCTGTAGGTGAAGTTAATCATCCGATGAATCAATAATTCGACAATTTATTTTGAAAAAATTTTTTGTCGATTTCATTTACTTACGCATTATAAAACAAAATAAGTAATTACTAAAAAAAATTTGTTTTAGTCTGAATTTTTAATAAAATAGGCTATGACCTCCAATATTTTACTGGAATTCTGTTGGCCATCATTTCATTTGAGAATAGTCGTATTAAATACTAGTCTGCTTTGGAATGCTGCAGATAAATCCCGTCCTCGCTTGCGAGTCGGATTTATCGACAATTTCCAAAGGCACTCGTGGTAGATGATATCTGATAATATTTTTTTATGCCGACAGAAAGTTAACCCAAACGAGGGTATCTAGTTTGTTTCGAATATTTTAAAAACCCAATTTCTGCCACAATTAAATCATAATATTGCAATCGCATATATAAAAAGATATATTTACTTCAAGTACTTAGCAAGAAGATTACAGAATACAATATGTTTTTGTAAACGCTACATTTTTGTGATTTTTTAAAAAGGTTTCCTAATGTGATCTTCCCAACGTTTTAGAAATGGGCAAAACAAATGAAAACTGCTAGAGTTTGGAACTCCCAGTATAATTTTACCCCAAAATATAAATTTAATGTCTTATATATTATGAAAATCGTTTACAGGCTTCTCATAGTCTGATTCTTCAGGGAGGCAAAAGTACATTTAATGCCCCGTTTTCCGCCCTCACCACATTATTAATGAGCTCAGATGAAACATATTAGTACATTAATTCTCTACACCCTATGAAAATTTGCAATGCAAACTGTATCCGCTACCTTCTTTCGCTGGAGAACAGATATCCCTGGTAGAACTTCATTTGAAAGAGTTTTAGATTCACGGAAGGTGAATATTCGTTTACTTTTTGTTTGCTTCAGAATTTTTCTAAAAATATATATTCTTTTTCGACTTCTCTTGGATTAAATTATAAAATTGTCTCTTTACTCATTCTTGTCCTGCCCGCTCGAACTGATAGGCTACGAAGTTGCTCTTGCTTTTTTATTACACTCCTAAGGCATAAGAATTCAATATTTAGTTATTTTATTTAAAAGGTAAAAAATAGGGCCCGCTTATAACTTGGGGGTCTTGGAATTAGGCACAGCTGTTTATATTACAATCCAATAACAATTTTATAAGAAATTAAAAAGAATTAATTTTACAATTTAAATTTTTTAAACCTGCATCATAACTTGTAATGTTCTCCAATACGAAATAATGGTTAAAGGACTTACCGATGATGTAGCGAGGTTAGGCAACTGAAATACGGACTTGAAAAAACTTTGCTTTTCACTGTTCAACTAATGCGATTGTTCGGCCACAAGTGAAATAAAGACACCACCATTTACTCGGCTTGGCGGTCTTGCAAAAACGTAGTATTTTTTTTAGGTACTAAGAAAGTGTTTAGTACTTCCAAAATTTAAACGCACACACTCTACAGAAGTAAATCAATGGGCTGCATTAGGAACCAGGCCAGGTTTGGTACTTTCTTAATAGTATCAAATTACCGTACACCTCAATTAAAACACAAAACGTTCAGACATTCCGGTTAAAATTGTTAAAATTTTAGTAGTGATATATGAATTGTATACCAATGATAACATAACGTTTCTCGCGTGTGAATAATGATTATCTTATTTTGACTCATTTAGCTATTAAAGTCGCACAATAGTAAGTTGAAGTTAATAATAATGTACGTGATTTGCTGTCGATTGCCCGCGGTCGAAGTCCATATGCGGCGTTTCGACCATATTGTCGTGTCTTCCTAGGGCTGGTATTCGAAGGCATACATAAATGGCACTTTGGCAGCCTGAGGAAGACACGACAAGATGTCGAAAACGTCGCAACACCAGCTTCCGAGCGCGTCACCTCGGCATAGCAAAAATCACACATGACTCTGGCCGCGTAAGCCTACGACTTCATTTATATGACAATGTTTATACGGAGGAAAAAAATGTCCTTCAGTCTCATTAGATAGATGATTACCAGCCACCGTGTTCGAAGTGAGTGTTTTCTCAGCAATGGGCGTGTAAGGCCTGCGGCTGGTGTTTCACGAAATTATTACTCCATTGACGGCGGTAAGCCGCTTTCGGGTGTGAAAGCTCTCCTTCCGCAGATCTGGTTAGGTGATGTCACTCCTGTAATGTCTTGGATGGAATAGTGGTTCAGGGATTTGGAAAGTATATTCGACTAATTGACGAGCGACGTGTATAGGATGTAAGCACTCAGGCTAGGTGGTAATGCTTGTTTATTGGGTATTCAATTGACAAGAGTTTTTATTTGTTGTACGTACACAACAATGAAGCAGGTGATAAACAATTTTCCCGGAAATGAGTAGTAGACGAACCTGTTGTTATTAATAGCACTACTCTTTTTATCCCGAACGCCGCCTAAATAGTTTCAGATGTCATTATTAAACGTATTTTATTCGCACTATTAAATTGCGGTGTTTTTAGTTATTACTTTTGGCCAGAATGTTCTTTTTGATACTACCTCAACTCTTGTCAGGCTGTGCTTGCCAGCGGCTTGAGTCTTCAGAACACTGGGGAAGGGGACATGAGTGTTTGTAATGGCATCAAAACGCACACTTCTAAGTGTATATCAATACTAAAACTTAAATATCAGCGAATAAAATTCATTTATGTAATTTCGAACGATTTCTTACCGAGCATTTTTTGGATAAAAAACCAAACTAAACTTTCGTTGCAACCAGTAATCTTTTTTTCTAGTACGTGTTTTACATACCTATAATTTATCTTTAAAAAGTTTTGTATGCTAGACACAAATGTATTTTTTATTCTAAGTGCTAGCAAATTAAAATTGTAAGAATGAAGGGAAGTTATTCAATAAGTTCGTCTTAGTTTTCCTATTCCACAACAGACTTCTGCGTGTTTATTAATAATATTTTAATGATAAGTTTCGGATATTTTAAAGTTTAAAGAGATTTGAAAAACTAGTTCGTTATTGCGATAAACATTTTTATGTGAATTAAACATTTCTTACACCTACTTTTTTGCAATTTTTTCCAGATTCTCACAATATTTAACAATCGCATGCCAGTGTGGGGAGATTAACATCTGACCCAGCGTAGCTTTTATCCATTTTGTTTAGATAAGGGGTTACTGCTTCATTGTTCAGGGTTTTTATTTATGAACCTTTCTTAACGCTAAGTGACAATTTCTTCTTCCTATTTTAGCCAAATGATTACAACGATTCAAAACCCCCTTGGCATTCGTAATTGCTCGCGGAAATCCTGTTTCTCTCACAACCACATACTCTGCTGCATCTCAATGTAATTTTAATAATCAGTCGATATTATTATAATATATATATATATATATATATATATATATATATATATATAATATATATATAAGAGAAGAGAGAAGAGAGAGAGAGGAAGAAGAGAGAGCATATCACACAATCCGAAACTAGAAATTTTTAACGCAAAACTCACAGTAAACCTGGCATATATTTCTAATTCAGTGGCATGAGTTCAATAACAGATTGTCCGGGAGGAAACGTCGAAACTTTCGAAATAAGTTATTAGACAATTTTAAGCATATTGGTCTAATGAACTGCTGAGATATTTCAAATGGTTTAGTGAAAATAAAAAAAGCACCCAATTAACAATTTACTGCTTTTTTTTTAATTTCTGAAGTTAGGTTATATCTTTCCACTCACAAATAATATTCATTTCTTTTACAAGTTAAGAAAACAATTTACATGTTCCTGAAATGTTTCTATGTTCTGCAATGGCAAATGTTGGCCTAGAAAGCATTTTTTCAACAAACTTTTTGAGTGTTTATTGTGTCTAAACCATTTGAGTATTCTTGTGTTTGTCAGACAAAAATGTATAAATTGTCTAAGAGCGTATTTTGCACGTTTATTCGGGACATGCCTGTATTTACAAATGTTCCTCCCATGGAATTAAACTCTCGCGTCCGCGTCCACCCGCCCGCGTTGTGGCGATGGGGTTGCCGGAAGGGCGGCGCATGCGTGCGCGAGGCGCGAAGTGAGGCGTGTGCGCGCAGTGTCGTGTGTCGCAGCGGCGGTGCGCGCGCCAGCCGCTGGCCCGCAGCCGCCCGCCATGAACACCTGCTTGCTGGCAAACGCCGCGTTGCTGCGTCGCGCGGGCGCGCGTAGGGCCTCCGCCGGGTGGCGGTGCCGCGGCCCGCGGCAGCCAGCGCGCGCCGCCAACCAGCCCGCGGCCAAGTACGCCACACCCACCCACCCCTACTGCTTGCCTTTTCACTGGATTCACTCACGGACTACTTAGAATATTAGTTCTGTGAAATCAGAATTTGAAGCCTTGCAGAGCCAAGGGAGCTAAGGGCCAAAAAAGGTTTTCAATCTAAATTTATAATGAGAGTTGAGACCTGCCAAAGCCAAGGAGCTAGTGCAGAATATTTTTTTCATTCTTAATTTATGAATTACAATTGAGGCTTGGCAAAAGCCTTAGAATTGCAGACCTTGGCAAAATCAAGGAGCTAAAGTGCAAATATTTCATTCTTTAATTTATAAATTAGAAATTAGGCTTTGCAAGACGCAAGGGAAGACAAGTGTCAAAATATTTTTCATTCTTATTTAATAAATTATAATTGAAGTTTTGCATAACCAAGTGGAGCTAATACAAACAGTTTGTTTCTGTCTGGAGATTCTAAAAAAACTGTTACATTATATTCTTTGACGTACGAATATCACTAAGGTAGGTGTTTACAATATTAGAAGATGTTGGAAAACAACGTTCTTTTTTTTTTTTTTTTCCCCAAAACGCGTATTGGGCATTGCAATTAATATAAATCTTTAATTATCAAACTCCTTACGCACCTTTGAAACGGCCTCAATTATTATCAATAATAAATTAAATTATACAATATATATTAATTATTGTAATTTGTTATTACTATGTATACTAGTGATATACAAACATAAACAGCAGTTTATACTGATTATTTAGATGTATTATTGGGATGATTTCGTGTTTCCGGTGCGTCATCTGCTATAGTATCGTTGTAATAATATTTAGGGCATGTGTTCCCCGGAAGGTTGTGGTGTACTTTTTCAGCTTGAACGGGAAGATTCGGATTCTGACTTATTTAGAATGAAATGCTTACACTAAAAAAATGCACATTCACAACCCCTGAAAATTGTTAAAGAAACAATATATCTGGACGTAAGTGGTTTCGAAAAAGAAATTCAAATTAAGGTTTAAAAAAATATTTGCATGATTTTAAAGATATATGCACACATTTTGTAATTGACGATTACATATTCTATGCAATGTCTTATAATAGTTATTTCAATGCGATACTTTTCAATTGAATGTTTATATAAATTATATTTATTTTATATTATTTTACACTTAACTTAAAGAAAATAAGCTTTTTAAATTCTAGCTTATCATTTGCTGCTACTTTTAAAGGTCGATGCTTTATAATGCATTATTTATAAAATGGTAGATATTTTTTTTAAAAAAAAGTTGTTTACTTTGACTTCCATTTGCGGCTTGCATATCTGAATAGTGAAACTGTGAAATGTTAGAATATTATATTTTTCAGTAAACTATTTGATTAACCAAAATATTGCCTTCTTTTTCTAAATTTCTAGACACCGAAGATAGCGCCTGAGCGGGCTCGTAAAATTCTTCTGTAACCCGTGGACCATAAATCATGTCCCAAAAATTAACGAAAATTAGTTAGGAAATAGTGTATCTATCATATTCCCCTTTCTCTAGTTATTGATTTACTTTTTTATCTAATTAAAGTCAAGCGAAAATTAGAAAAGTTTAACAGTAATATAACAATTAAAAGTTTTATTAGGTAATACCATTTTTATTAAATAATTGAAATAAAAAAGTGAAATTGAAAACATGGAAATACTAGAATATAGAAGAAATTGAAAACATATTACTAACTAATAATACTATGAATTAAGAATGTCTTTGAAAATTACATTGTAATTTTTACAAATCTAAAAAATATTTGACCCCATTTTTTATGTTCGATTTTGAATGGCAAATATAGAATCGTGTATGTGAACCTGTCGCTTTTAAGACACAAGAATATATCACATGCGTTGGAAATTCGAAAAAAAAGACATCTGAGTGGCGCGGCGAAACGGTCACGGTTGAGGCCTTGGAACGTGTCCAGATAAAACTGGAGCATTCGGGTTCTGCCTCGTATCGGGTCCATCTCGCTCTCTGGCCCGCGTTGACCGCCCGAGCGCAGCCAGCGAGCCAGACAAGAGGGGCTCTCCTCCAGAAGGCGTCGCGCGGAAATAAATCCCACGCCAACCCGATACCTCTTCGCGCGGCGGAAAACGCACTGCCGCCAAGACTGTCCGTGGCGGGTGTCGATTGCAGGCCCTCAGTTTTGTCTGCTGTCAGCACGTGCGGCGTTTCTGCTCTGAATTCGCGAACTGCGTTACGAGCAGAAACGTTTTCAGGCATCACATACAATAGTAAGTGGCGTTGTAAAATTCAGCACAATTTACTAAAACAAGTATGATAAGAAAAGGTGCATTTCATCGAGACATACAGTGAAAACAAGAAGCAATTTCTGGTAAGAAAATAGGTTACACTTGGAAAAATGGTAATCTGTGGAGACTTAGGTTTTGATATGAGAAACTGCTGTTTGGTTTTTTTTTTATTTAGGTATAAACGTTGCCAAAAGTACATTCTTCACGTGAGAGTTTATTTCATGCACAATATTTCAATTACACTACGACGCTACGCAAATACAAAAGAGTTCGTTTTATGAGAACACAATTAGTTTCGTTATTTGTTTATTTATTGTCAAGTAGTTCAACATAAATTCTCACAAAAATAGAGGCCAATGTATATCTGTAGAATTTCATTCATACTCTTCTTGTATGATTGTTGAAATAGCCTATTAATGAAGAACATTGATGTTGATGAATGAATGATTTAATACTATTTCATATTATTTTTACTTTCCTCGCTACAGAAATTTGTTAATTATGAACGACACGACAAGATTTGATACTTGGTTAAAGTAGGTATTTCGAATGCAAATATGGTAGAAATTCAATACAAGAGTGAATTGAAATAAACCAGTTCGGCGAAGAATAACATTATTGCACTCTTGTTCGTTTCAGACGCACCAGCAGGAATGTCATTAATTTAATTAATGGAGACATGCCTATTGTCGAAACCGTACATTTACGCTTATGCTAAAATTATTACTAAATGAAAGATATAACTCATGTTTTAGAAAAACGAAATGTCCGAATTACAGATAATCAGATTGGGAGCCAGGAATGAAGCGTCCAGATAATTTGGAACAAATTCCTCGAGATTTAATAATATAAACTGTAATTAAAAAACTGTACGATCACCTTGTCAATAATTTAACTACGATTACATTATGAGCCAAATTACCCATATGATTTTAATATTACTTTCTCGCGAATGCGATTTTTCGAGATTTGCGAGTGTTTCGTCAGTTACAAGAAGTGAAATAATTTTAAAGGAGTTTGAAAAAATGTTTTTTATGTAATTATATCCTAAAGTTATGCAATAGTCTTGTGCATGATAAATACTATATTAAAGCCTGTTATACGTAGACATTAGTCAAATGTAACTTTTCAACGATTTAACTTTTTACCTTTTTCCTGTTAGTATAACACCGCCGAACACACGGACGAACACACGGACGAACACACGGACGAACACACGGACGAACACACGGACGAACACACGCACGAACACACGCACGAACACACGCACGAACACACGCACGAACACACGCACGAACATACACTAATGCACACACGAGAACGCACACGAACGCTCACGCGCACACTCAGGAACGCACGCACATGCGTACACCCACGCACACGCACACGATCGCACACTTACACATATCCATTACACTTGCGTTCGTTCCAGTGCAGAGACTATTGCTCTTCAGCAGCAGTTTTTACTACTGAACAAAACCACACAAAATGATTTTCTAAAAAGGAGCACACACACTGCTCAAGAATTACACATAAAATAACACTACAATAAATTAAATATATTAA